GGAGGCGGCGCGCGTGCTGTTGACCAGCAGGCACTGCTGGCACGAGCAGGGCTGGCCTGAGCTGGCGCCCACGGGCCACGACTGCGACTTGGGGATGGAGCCGACGGTGAGCGGGTAGGCGAGGTCCAGGCGGCGGCGCAGGCGGCGGCGCCGGCGCGTCTGGCGGTTCATCTGCGACATGCTGTTGAAGCAGATGAGGTAGCAGAAGCCCAGCGACGAGAGGTCGAGCCACGGGTGCTGCTTCTCGTAGGCGTTCTGGATGGTGATGCAGACGTCCATGTCGTAGGCCGTCCACGCGCCGCCGTCGTTCTCCCACTCCCACACGATGCCCTTGCCCGGCGCCGACGACGGGTCGTAGAAGTTGCGCCGCACGGGCCGCATGGTGCCTGCGCTCACAAGGAGGAAGGGGTCAGCGCAGGAGGGGCGGCACCCGCGGCCAGGGGGTCGGCACAGGCCCGAGCGTCAGTGCTGGCAGGGGCCAGGCGGAGGGGGGCGCGGGGCGGGGGCAGGAGGGTCAGCGCATATGCGTCGGGCTGAGAGGTGCACGGGGCGGGGGGTCAACAAAGGGGACATCAAGACCCCATGGAGACACAAATCTGCAAGGCGTGGGCGGTGGGGGGGCGGGATACGGAGAGGCAAGCTCCCCCCACCTCTCAGGGGTCAACACAGGCACCGAAGCAGTGGCCGGCACCGGCCTCGGGAGGGAGGAGGGCGAAGGGAGGCTGGGGGCTGTTCAGACAAGGCGGGGGGAGCAGAGCAGCGCGGGGTGGGGGTGGGGGCAGGGATCCACAGAGGCCGCGACCACGCAGACATGCGGGTGCCATGCGGTGCTCTCCCTCATTCGTTCACTCGTTCCATAATTCGTTCTCAAGCCATTCATCAGTTTCTTAATTCAAGCCCAAGTTAGTTGATTCATTCAACACGTCTTGCATTCGTTCATCGCCCAGGCCTGCAGTCACCCACGACGCTCTTCATTCATCCCTGCATTTGTTCTGGCTCCTTAGCGCTCTCCTTCACTCAAGCATTCAGTCACTCCTTCATTTACCACCATCCCACTTAAATACCTGCACCCCTCCACACACTTGCTTTTCCCTCTCTCCTTCCCTGCTCCGTGTTCTCATCTGGTATACTTGCTAGTTTCCCTATTTGTCTTGTTTTCTCTCTGTCTCCTCCCCCTAGAATATCACCCCCACAAGGCAGGGACCTTTATTCGCTGCTGTATCCCCAGCACCTGCACACAGTAGGTGCTCAATAGATATCTGCTGAATGTACGAATGAATTCATTTGTTCGCACATTGATCAACTTGGGGTTGGGTGATTTTTTTAGTCCTCCAGGCCTTTTGTTTATCCGGCACGGGTCCCTCCCTTCCTCCACTTATTTTCGTTTTTCATTCATCTGTTTGTTTGCTCCTTCCTTTGACAGCCGTGCTGTCTGCTCTTCGGAGGGTCCATGCTGAGTGCTCACTCAAAATGAACATAAGCCCGTGGTAACCTCAGCTAGGGGGGCACTCACACCCCCATTTTAAAAGTGAGGGGTTTTGCTCCCCACCACTGCTCCGTGTTTCCCTAAGCTCTAGGTGCTCCCCGAGAGCATGGCTCCGTGGGACACTGGGTTAAACGGAGACAACCAAGGTCCAGGCTGCAGGACTTCTCAGAGCCTTTAGCCTGCTCTGGGCCTTGGGGCCAGTGTGGGGAGATTCTCTTGCTGGGTTCATTTGGCACATCTGCAGGAAGGCTGCATGCTTGACTGCTCCTCGACTGTGGGCAAGTCCCTTCAGCTTCCCCAGGTCTCGGTGGCCCCATCTCGAAAATGAGGGTGATGCTAATCCATGTCCCACCTCTCCCCTCACACAGGGCTGCCGGGAAGACTTGGTGAGAATAACCACAGAGCACAGGCTGGGTGGGGCACCCGGGCTGGGAGGCAGACAGACCTCATTCAAGTCCTGACTGCCCGACTTTCCAGCTCTGTGACTGTGGTCAGATGACTCAACGTCTCTAAGCCTCAGTTTTCTCATCTCTAAAATGGGCACAAGCAGACTTTCCTTGTGGGGTGCTTAAAAGGACCCATCAAGACAAACCATCTCGTCTCTGCTGATTCCAAAATCTGTCATTTCCAGCCCCATCCTCTCCCCTGAGAGCCAGCCTTGTGTACCCAGCTGGTGGAGGTCCGACAGGCTTCTCAAACTCTGCTCTGCCAAAGCGGAGCTCTGATCTCCTCCCCCCAAACCTGCTTCTCCTGAAGTCTTCCTCTTTGCAGTCACTGGCAGCTCCATCCCTCCAGCTGCTCGGGCCCTGAATCCCCCAAACCTTAGACTCATCCCTGCCTTCCTACCTCTTACCCCAGGTGCAATCTATCAGTAAATCCAGTCCCCTCTACCTTCAGATCTGCCCCACATCTCACTACTTCTCCCCACCACACTGATTCCACCCGGTCCAAACCACGCTCTCTCCTGCCTGGGCCACTGCAGCAGACTCATGACTGGTCTCCACTTCTGCCCGTGCCCTCTGTAGTCTGTGCCCCACGTGGCAGCCAGAGGGATCTTGTTCAACACAAGTCAGATCACATCCTTCTGCCCCCAATTCTCCCATGGCTCCCCACTCACTTGGAGTAAAAAGCCAAAATCCTGGCCATGACCTACAAACCCCCCCTCCGTTGTCTATAAAGCCCCCCCCCCTCAGTCCACTCCAGCCAACCCTTAAACGTCCCAAGCACTGTGCAGCCTCAGGGCCTTTGCACTGGCTGTTCCCTCCACCTGGAATACCACCTAGCCACCCCCAGATGTTCTTGTAGTTCCCGCCCTCCTTGTTCTCAGGTCCCTGTTCAAATGTCACCTCTTTGGAAAGACCCTGGCAGACTGCCCTTCTCCCACGGCTGCCCTCCATCCCATCCTCTCACCTTGCTTTACCTTCTTCCTGGCAGTCTGCACTCTCTGATGCGACGCATTAACCCTCACACTTTCTTTGCTCTCTGCTGTCTCCCCAGCGCCTGGCACAGAACCTGGCACGCAGCAGCTGTGAGTACGGGGAGGGGGTTTCCATTGCTAACAGGCATCCCTCAGGGTGCCTGGCCCTGGATCTGCGGCCAGATGGGTGGGCCCACCACAGTCTTTCCTGAGGATCCATCCCCTCCTCCCTGGCCTGCTCAGGCTTCTTTCTCCCAACCACAGACTCTCTGTCCTCCACTTGGGTCCCTATCCAGGCTGACAGAGCTTTCCTCTGCTCTCTCCTCTGTTAGATTCCCGAGGGCTCTGGACTATACCTGCCCCCGTGAACTGCCCAGACCCCGAGAGCTGGGGGAATCGAGGCACAGAGCTGTAGCTGTCGACATGAGAGAGGCAGGGTGGGGCAGGGTCCCTGGGCTCCTGTAACATCCCAGCCAATCATATGGAAACTTCCCCGGGGCCTCCGGGGCAGCCTCATCCTGATGCCTGACTCATCATTTTAATTGAGTGTGTGCCCATTGATTTTTTCCTTGACGATGGTTCTTCCAGGGCAGGCTGAGAGGGGGTTAGTTAAGGGGAAAACCCTGGAAGCTGTTCTGCTCTGCTCCTGAGTGCTGGTCTTCTCCTCTCGGGGCCTCAGTTTCCCCCTCTGCACAATGAGAGCTCCTGAGAGATGGTCTTCAGGTCTCACGTGCCTGAAGAGCCATCATTAGCTGCCTGGTGAGGGTTAAGGTGCTGTGTTACCTGGAAGGTGTGACCCTGGATGGGAGGGAAGGAAGGGGAGGCTGCTTTACTTAACTACCTCCATGTGCCAAGTCTCTAACAGGGCAGGGCAGGGCCAGGGGTGGGAGGTGCAGATGAAGTGGTTGAGAGAAACAACTCAGCAGTCTCACAGGCCATGTGCAAATCTTGGCTCTAGATATAGCCTCTGTGTCATCATCTGTAAAATGAGGGTGTTAATACCCACACCAGAGAATTACTGTGGGACAAAGGAAGATAATGCACGTCATAGGGGCTTGGCAGAGCACTTGGTTATAGTAAATGCTTGATGAATGGTAGCTAAGACGGTTGTTATTAGTACATACATCACCCACATTCACCCTCTCCCAGCCCTTGTTCACTTGGCAAACTCCTATTCATCCAACAAAACCCTCCACATGCCCGCCGCCTCCAGGAAGTGCTGTTCTGTTCTGCAGCTATAGCTAGCACATGCAGCTTTTTATTGCCTGTCTATCCTTGCACTGTCATTAAATTATTCGTTTTTGTTCTTAATTTCCCTCACTGGATGATGACTTTCAGGAGGACAAGGACCCAGTCAGATCCACGTCTGTGTTTCCAGCACCAGGCACAAAGGCTGGCACCAAGGAGGCATCTGCAACTGAAATGGGCAACCTGCTTGGCACGGGTTGGGGCTCAGAAGGAGTGGGAAAGAGCAGGGGTTGGTCTTGATGGAGAGGGAGGGGAGACTGGATCAGGAGCCAGGGGGCACACGGGGTCCTAGGGGTGGGTGGGGACAGAGTTCCAAAGCTCAGCGTTGGCCAGCTCTGCGACAGAGGACTCTGGGAGTTTTCTGGGCCAGGTCGGGGCCGGCCAGCCCCGGCGTCCCTCTCTCCAGGGCTCTATTTGCCAGGGATCGATTTTCCTGCCTGTTTACTGGTAGTTATTAAAGGCTGCATCCCTGGGGTCCTTTTCAAGCGAGATTGGAGCCCGGAGAGCTGGCGTAATCAGGGCAGCTGCCATCCTCCCTGCCGGGCCCCGCACCCCGCAGCGCCCACTGCTGCCTGCCTGCCCAGCCGTCCACCTCTCTGGCTCCCACTGGCCGTGGACCAGGCCGAGGGCGCCGGCTGGTTCCCTGGTGACCCGCCTGGGCTGCGATCTCAAGATCTCCAAGGGAGCAGCAGCAGAAACACGCCTTGTCCTCCCCTGCGGCCTTGGCCTAGATTTGCGGCCAGAACAATGGGTCCAAGATGGGCTGGAGGTCCTTCAGCCTGGGAGACGGGAAGGGTCTCAGGCTGGGGGCCCGAGGGCACGGCTGGTCTTTCTTTACGACCCAGGCTGCTGGGTCTCCCTGAGCAGACCGATCCCCCCTTGGGCCTCACGGGCACCCAGCTGCGCTGCCCACGAGGCTCTGCGCCCCATGGCAGTTAGGAACCCGTGTCAAAGGTCCCCTGGGCCTGTTTTTGTGCATCTGCTTTTGTCGTCCGTCCCCCAAACCCCCCTTAGTTTCTTAAGAATGTTTGGTTGAAAAATTCCAATCTTGTTCCAGCTGAACTGCGGGGAAAGGGGCTTTGGCCAGATGTCAGCTGGAGGCCGGCAGGAGCTGGGCCCCGGAGACCGGGGGTGGGGGCGGCCACGGCGCTGCAGCCAGGGACCAGTTCATGCCCGGGGCAGAGACGACGAGAGAGAGATGGAGACACAGGGGGAGAGAGGCACAGAGAGACTGC